AGGGCTATTACTGTTACTGCTACTGTGCGGTGTAACACTGCTACGACAATCGCCGCTACTACTACGATTACTACTACTTCTACTTCTACTACTACTACTACTACTACTACTACGAATACTACTACGAATACTACTTTTACGATTACTACTACTACTACTACTACTACTACTACAACTACTACTACGACTGCTACTGCTACTGCTGCTACTATTACTACTACTACTAGTACTACTACTCCTACGACTACTACTACTACTACTACAACTACTATTTCTATTGCTGCAATTACCATGACTACGACTACCACTACAACTACTGATGCGACTTGTCAGTGCTACGTTCAGTACTTTTGCTATCATTACTATTACTCTTACCATGATTTTAGTGGTAGTAGTAGTGCTACTACAACAACGACTACCACTACGACTACGTTTACCACTCATACCAGTACTGCTTTTACTAGTAGTATTCGTATTGCGACGACTTGTGAACTACCGCTACGGACTACTACGTCTATTTCCACTGCCACGGCTACGACTACACATACCATTGCTACTACGACTAAGACTAATACTAAGACCTACTAGTAGTAGCATGTCCTACTTCCAGCACCACTACTACAGCCACTCCTTTTGGTATTACTACTGCATCTACATCTAGTCTTACAACCACTACAATTACGATCACTGCTACTCCGATTCGGACTACTACTACTTTACAATTGCCACGTCTACGTCCAGGACAACTACTACATTCACTACCAGGATTGCCACGAGTAGTATTAGTATTGTTACGACTATTATTAGCATCGCTAGCACTACGAGCATTACGCCTATTACTACTAGCATTACTAGTATTACTATTTTTAACGACTGCTACTACTTCGACTACTACTACTACTACTACTACTACTACTACTACTACTACTTCTTTCTACGACTACTACCACTACAACTTCTAATATCTTCGCCACCACTACTACTACCACGACTTCGACCACGGCTATTACTACAGCTTCTACTGTTTCGACGACGACGACCACTATTACTACTACTACTACTGCTACTACTACTACTACTACTACTGCTACTACTATGGCTACTGCTTCTACCATTGCTACGACGACGACGACTACTACTGCTACTACTACTACTATCACTATTATTATTACGATTATTACTACTACTACTACTACTACTACTACTACCTTTACTACTATGTTACTACTACTACTACTACTACTACTACTACTACTACTACTACTACTACTACTACTACTACTACTACTACTACTACTACTACTACTGACTACTACTACTACTACTACTACTACTACTACTACTACTACTACTACTACTACTACTACTACTACTACTACTACTACTACTACTACTACTACTACTACTACTACTACTACTACTACTACAACTACTACTACTACTACTACTACTACTACTACTACTACTACTACTACTGCTACTGCTACTGCGACTATGGCTACTACTACGACTACTACGATTATTTCTACTATCGCGACTCCTCCTACTACTACTACTACTACTACTACTACTACTACTACTACTCCCTATTACTACTACTACTACTACTACTACTACTACTACTACTACTACTACTACTACTATTACTACTCCCTATTACTACTACTACTACTACTACTACTACTACTACTACTACTACTACTGCTGCTGCTGCTGCTGCTGCTGCTGCTGCTGCTGCTACTATTACTGTTACTTTCACTACTTAGTTCTATTGTTATTAGTACGATGTGTCTTCCTACTTGTATGACTGCTACTGCTAAGTGGCGCGGGCGGGGAGAACTCATTTCTGGCTTTCCCCAGTGGTAAGAGTACGCTAAGTGCAGGGCAGGGTCGATACCCTGGGGTGGACCCCTTCCTAGGACGGCCGGCGAACATCACTTTCAGTGGGGCGTGCAATAGGAATCGCAGAGGACAGAGGCGAAGAGGAGAAAGAGAACATGCGAAGGATGGATGGGGCGAAAAGGAGGCGGTAATTACAAGAAAAGGAGGAGCATTTGCGGTTGAGGGGGGGCGATCATTATTTATTGGTTGCGCCATGGTACAGAGCCAACGATATCGGTCTATGGAATCCGCCCCGACGGATTATGGATTTTCGTGCCACTGGTAACGACCACCCAGGGGGATTTTGAGTTGCCTCCGTCGGAGAAGCATTAATTGTTGGGGGTGCGCCCAGATGTCTTGGGTCGGCGCTGGGCCTCTCTCCGTGGCGCGCGGGGCGCCATGAGCGGCGCCAAGGGCGCCGACAAGAGGGCCCAGCGCCGATCCACGAAATCTGTGCGGACCGCCAAGAGCTTATCCTTACACCGTCAGAGAGCAGGAGGTTTTCTGGAAGCCCGCCGAGCCTCTGAGAAGCCTTCGAAGAAGTATCCCGGCGCTTCTGAGAAAGGCCCCCGCCTTCTAAGAAGCCCGTTGCGTTCTTGAGAAGCCGACCCGCTCGCGTCACTTTCCCCAGAGCCCCGCCAGGGATGGAAGGGGATGACTCGAAGCAGGTGCGCTTGAGTTCTGTTTCGCAATATTTGGCCTCTGCTTGCCTTGCGCTGAACCCCAGCATCGGCATTACACAACTGTTCAGAATGAAGACAACCAACAGAAATAGTGGGGGCGGGTTGATAGGTCCGGGAGGCCAGCGATTCAAAAAATGAAGTCGTGGGAGGTTCGTGTGGGCGGGACGAGAGAAAAGAGCCAGTTGGAGAGGGGACGCAGGTCAGCTGATTGTTGTTTCTCAGACGCGAACGACGAGAACTTGTTCGGGGAACATTTTCTCGTGTTTGCTGGAGGTGCTGGCCGCGGGGGTGGGGACTAGTTGTTGTTGCAACACCGCCGCGCACCCCCCAGGGGCGCGCGCGGGCAAGACTCGGCGGCGAGCGAGGGGGGGAGTGAGAAGGGGCGGGCCTTTTCAGAAGGCTCGGAAGTCCCCCGGCCTTTTGAGAAGTTTCTTAAGCCTTCCCCGAGGACGCAGAACACTTTTCAGAAAACGCGAGACGGCTTCTGAGAAGTACCGCCGCCTTCTGAGAAGACCCTCGCTCGCACGCCGCGCACGGGGGCTGCGGTGCAATCGCACAGGCTTTGCGAATGCCACGTGCGTTCCCCATCAGTGGCATGCGCCTCCCCTGCGGCGTACAAGCAGGCCTCTTGCGGTGTGTAGGCATGCCCCTTGAGAGAGGCCCCCGGCCCCCAGGCCCGCAGCCAACGTGGGTGCGGCCGCCCACGCTCCCCCAGTGTGGTTTCGTCCGAACTTTGCACGCCGGTCGTCGAGAGCGGGTATCTCTGAACTCCCGGATCCCAATCTACTCTGGGCCCCTTCCTGCTTCAAGGGTCGACCGATTTTCCCGCTTCCCTTCCTACTTCAAGGGGGCGGGCGGAAGCCCAATCCTCTACTTCAACGCATTCCTACTTTATGCTTCTATCCACTTCTTCCGAACGGCGGGTATTGCGTTCGTGCACTCCGCGTGCATTCGATGTGCTTCCCCCGTATCTCGTAGGTTTCGTGGTAGTTCATGGCCCGTCATGGGGCTCTGGGCTTGCTCTGTCTACCACCGCTCGGAATACTGGGCTCTGTTTCGATACTTGTTTCCTGCGTTTCCTTCTTGTCCTCCCCTCGCCCCTCTCAGGCCTGGCTTCGTCGGGGTGCCTCGGCTTTGTGCTGCTATGCAGAGCCATTTTGGCCAGGACCTCGGAGTGGTTCCGAGGGGCATCCCGCATACCGCGGTCGTGCGCTTCAGGGCGCGCGCGGGTGGTTCGATCGCAAGTTTTTCTTTCTGGGAGGCTGCTGCTCTTCATTATCATCTTGTGTTTCTCTTCCTCCTCTCCCTACTCCCCTCCTTTCTTCTCCAGGGCTGTTGCTTCGCATGGTGGGGTCCCCTTTCCTTGAATGGGAGTGCTGGCATGTGTCATCATCCCTGCATCGTGTTCATGGACAAGAATGCTTTGCTAGAGGCGCCCGAAAGGCTTATCGACGAGGCCCCTCCAGACGGCCTTACCCTCCCTCTTGGACGCCCCCGACAATTGACGCCCCCCAGGAATGATGGGGCCGAGGCTCCAGTGGTGACTTGTTCACGACGCCACGATCTGTCTCAAGGTGGCGGATGCCAGCGCAGAGGCGTGGTTGGGCGTAAGGCCTCGAGGCCCACCTAGACGGACCTGGGAGCAGTCTGAATTGTCACCGCTCCGCCAGCTGGATCTCCCCAGCCCCCTAGATGCGGGCGCAGCCAGGCCGCAGTGCAAACGTTCTTGCAAGTGCCATGGCGCGAGCCACGGCCTCGCGATGCCCGATGCCCGTGCCAGGCGCGCTCGGTGTCACCAGCCGCTGCAGGGCTCGGACGACATTTGCGCCGTACTCGGCGTGGGGAGGAGCGGGAGCTGGCACCGCTGGCACCTGCAGGCTTCGTTGGAACCCCCAGCCAGACCAGGGCCCCCCCCCGGGGGCAGGGTGCCTCTAGGCCTCCCAGATGGGGTCCGAGAAGATGGGGCGGGAGGAAGGCCCCGCATCGCCGATGCAGCATCGATGCGTGGGCGACGCGCACAGCGCATTGAGGCGCGTGGGCGGTGCATCATCGATGTATGGTCACCCCGCACAGTGCGGGGAGGGGCAACCATCTCACACAACAAGGGAATCCCGATGAGCCTGCGAATCACTGCTTCCCCTCAGGCGCCCCGCGCCGCGCGCGCGCGGCGCGACGCGTGAGGCTGCTGGCCCAACCGCCGCCTTTAGAGGCAACGTCAGGGATGGAGAGGCTCAAGGGGGGGGCTGCATCGACCCATATCGACCTCCAGTCGCCCATTCAGCGCCGATGGGGGCCCGATGGCCCACCCTGCCTGGCAACCTGTGGACTCGCTATCGGGGGCCTATCGCCGATCGATCGGCGACGTCTCGCCGATTCCAGTTCGATGTTTCCCCCCCCGGGCCAGTCCCCCCCTAGCGGTGCCCCCCCCCCGCCCAGGCTACGGCGGGGCATATGGCTAGCAGCTAGGAGAGCCGCCGCTGCGCTCTCCGCGGCCTCCTCTCCTGCTCGGCGGAGATCGCAGAGGGGCGGTGGTCTGGCCTGAGGTGGCCCAGCCCTGGTTCCGGCCAGGAGGAGGCGAGGTTCGAGGTTCTGGGTTCGAGAAGTCAGTTCACCTCTAAGGGTTCGGCCCCCAGGACTGTCAAAAACGGACCGGGGATGAAAATTGCGCCAGATGGACCCCCCAGATGGGTTCGGAGACAGGTTTTGAGTGGGTTTGGCCTCGTCCCACCTCTTGGTCGGTTTCTGGGGTCCCATCCAATTCAGGTCCCCCGGCCGTCCCAAAGTCGGAGGATCGCGCCGCATCGGCGATGCGGCTCGACGTGGAACCCGATCCTCTCCACGCCAACGTCGCCGACGCATGGTCGACACACTGGCGATGCGGCGCGATCCTCGGACCCCATCTGCTCGGACTCAACCCTGGATATCTGAAAGACCACGTTCTGTCGACGCTGGGAAGAGGGGGCCCCTGAATTGCAAGATGGCGGGTTTTGAACAGTGGGGAGGGGGGGGCCTGTCCGGAAGGGAGGGGGCTCGAACCATGGGGGGGAGGGGACCCCTTGTCCAAGGGGTCCAAGGGGAGGGGTCGAACCAGGGAGGGAGGACCCGCCCCTCAATAGGGTGTGTGTGTGTGTGCGGATATGAAAGCTCAGCGTGCGCTTACAGTGCCTGTGCCAGCTTAGCCTGAATCCGAACCCCTTTTCCATAACCAATATACCATTCTGGTTCAGGGAAGTGGGCTTGTGGCCCCTTTCAGGGGTTACAGACGAAACAGGGAATCCACCAGGGAACCAGGACATCGGTGGGCGAACGGAGATATTTTCCTTGGTCGAACGGAGTAATCATTCCGGGTCGAACGATGAAAGCCGATGACGTCGAACGAGGAAGTTTTCCCCACCGAGCGAGGAACATTTTGTTCCCTGTGGGGGTTTTGGTCGTGGAGGTTCTTGTGCAATTCTAGACGCTGCTTCGCGTAACCCCACCAGCTGGGATCTCGCAGCCTGCCAACGCTCTCGCCTCGTCTCGGCACCAATTCGACCTTGACCGACGGTCCTTCGGGCCACCCTGGTTCTCACGCAGTTGTCCAGGGTTGCGTCCATGCATTAATTTCGGCTTCTGACCCGGGAAGTCGTGTGTCTCGACTTCCTGGTCCTTCCGACGCTATGCATACTTGCACGCTGGCAGTACGACTCAGTTTCAGCTGCCCCCCCCACTCGCCGGTCCGCCGCTGAGCTGCTGCGCGAGATCTTGGTTAGCCGCTGTAGGTGTGGCCACCCTCCGTCGCTTTAGTTTAATTCGTCGCTGCGTGCCCCGCTTTGATTGGACTCGCCGCTGGCGCGCTCGCCCGCGGCCGCTGAGTAAAAAGTAACCCCACCAGCCCATCCAGAAACGATGCCCAGAGGAATTACCTCGATCAGGGAAGTGGGCAGCGCACAGAGGAAGGGCCCCCCAGTGGAGGCCTCTTGGAGCGTCTTGGGGGCCTCTTGGCGGTCCCGGGCGCCTCTTGGAGCGTTTTGGGTGCCTCGGAGAGCTTCTTGGGGCCTCTTGGAGGTCTCTTGGGAGCCTCTTGGGGCCCTCTTGAAGCGCTCTTGGGAGCCTTGGGACCGCTCTTGGGGCAATCTTGGAGGATATCGACCAACCAAGAGGGGAGCATGAATTAGCGCTGCCCCTCGGGAGCCCACGCCTCTGGGGCGCTCTTGGGGCTCTCTTGGAGCACTTGGGCGCTCTTGGGGCCGTCTCGGGGCTCTCTTGAGCCTCTCTTGGAGCCCCCTTGGGCCATCTTGGAGCCATCTTGAGGCCTCGGATGGCCATCAGAAGCGAAAAGGCGAGAAGGCCAAAAATACTGATGTTCCAAACGTTTCGAAAGAATGTTGGCCTCTTCGGGGCCTCCTGGGGAAGCTCTTTGGCCACTTCGAGCCGTCTTGGAGCGGTCTTGGGGCCTCTTGGAGCATCGTGGGAGCCATCTTGAGGCATCTTGGGATATCTTGGAGGTCATCTTGGGCTCTCCCCAGGCGCTCTTGGAGTTATCTTAATCAGTGCCCCCCCAGGAGGCCAATCTGTGGCCAAAACCTTTTTTGTAAAATCAATGATGTTGGCATTTTCGCCGAGGCCTCTTGGAGCGTCTTGGGTGCCTCTGAAGGGGCGTCTTGGGGGTCTCTTGGGAGCCTCTTGGGGGCATTCTGGGGGCCTCCTGGCCACCTCTTGGGGCCCTCTTGGGGCACCCTCGGGAGCCTTGGGAGCGCTCCTGGGGCCATCTCGCAGAAGATCGATCAAAGAAGCGGGGTTCCTTAATCGGGCCCCCCCCCTCCAGGAGGCCAACATGTGGCCAAAACCTTAGTAGCATCAGTGATTTTGGCATTCTCGCCGAGGCCGTTTTGGACGCTCCAACTACCCGCGGAACCTCCCGTCCAGGTCCAGTGGAGGGGGGAGGGGGAGGGGTAAACCTCTCCCCGAATGGGAAGAAGGGGGTTGGAAGAGGAAACTCCCTAGACCACCTACGCCCACAAGGGCTGGGGGGATTTATGAGATTGAGCACGTTGGGGCGCGCGTTGTTCGCGGAAGTTGTCAAGATGGTCCCGGCGCGTTGGGGCGTCCGGGACCGCCAAATAATACAACGTCCGCGAAACAGAGCTCGCGCGTTGGTCGCGGAAGTTGTATTTCTGGTGTTCCCAGGCGTCGCCACGGGGCGAGCAGAGTTCAACGCGGTGCGACGTGGCGATCAGATCTGAGCATGTGTCAGTTCCGCTGGGCGGTTCAGCAGCGTGGTGAGCAAGAGTGTAGTAGTTGTTGTTGGTTTCTCGGTGTTGCCGCGTCGCCTGCAGAGTCAAGCAGTGATGTTGTTTCGTCTCCCGCGCGATGCCATGGGACGCGTCGGACGGAACAGTTTCTCTTCCGCCCTGTTGCGTTGCTGCTCCGCGCGTTCATCGTGCCGCGCAGGCGTGCCCTAGGAAGCTATCGCAAATGTCAAAGTTCACGATCGTACAACGCAAGGAAGTCTCAAGCGACACGGCCAGGACGTTGTAGAACAAATCTGGCGTGCGACGCTACGGAGTTATCAACAAGGACATGGGATGAATGAAGAGGAGGGGGAGAGGCAGGGGGAGGAAAAAGAAGTTGAGAACGATTCGACGACAACATCTTCACAATGCGTTCCCGAGTTCTTCCAGACACCGATGAAACTAGTTCTTCGAGCCGCGCCCAGCCGTCTGTGCAACCCAGCATCGCGCAGTTTTTCTGGAGCGGCTTCAGCTGGCAACTTTCTCTTGCCAGCGGAGAGAGCATGCTGCTTCGCGCGAGTTCGATGCCAACGAATGGGAGACGAATTGGACCAGTAAGAGGATCAGTCTTGCGCATTGTCGTACAAGCTATGATGTGTTCTTTTCGGGTATTGGGCCAGCTTATGTTGCCAACCCATGCCCATCCCGTCCCGTCTCCAGGGACTTCGCATCCCCCTATGACTGTGGGATGCGGAGACGGTCCGCCGCCCCCTGCGCTGCACGTGCTGCGCATGGATCGTTGGGGTTTGAGTTGAACTCTACAAGAAAGCCCCCCGTCCCTCCCCCTTTCCTTCCTACTCCTGGTCCTGTCGGCGATGGCCCGGTCCGGCAGGGGTGTCGGAAAGTCCTGGGGGGAATGCCAAATACCCGATCCGTTGCGAGCGTGGTGCCTGGGGGATATTGTGGGTAGCTGAAATCCCCACAGGATCCCCCAGGCACCACAGAGACGCCTACAGGAGAGCCGTTTGCCTCGTCGTCGCTTGTCGTAATCGCTATTCGTCGAAATCGAATCGGAAGAGAAAACCCGCAACAACAAACGCATACACCAGTAATATGAGACCAGCCTAAATAATAAATCACTGACAGGGTCGCGGCCGAACAACGCGCCCGCCTTAATTCTGACAGCTCCCGCTTGACGGCGACGTCCACAGCCAAGCACAGCTTTCATGTTTAAGGCATGGTCTGGGGGTCCGCCGCTAGTCCGCGGTCCTACCCTATCCCCAAACCTGAACCCTAACCCTACAGCCTAAAACCTAAACCGTAACCCGACCCCAACTCCTAACCCGAACTGTGACCCCTTACACAGACCCCGAACACCTAACCCTAACACTCACCTTCAACTCTAAACCCTAAACTTAACCTTAAACGTTAATCCTGACCCCGAACCCGAAGCCCTAACCCGAACTTTGACCCGAACCCCTGACCCGAACCCTAACCCCTGACCCTAACACCGAGCCCGAACTCTAAACCTTAAGCACTAGCCCTAAACCTAACTTTTCAAACCGATACCAAAACCGAGCCCCCATCCTAACCCGTAACCCGAACCGTAACCCTTCATTCGAACCCTAATTTTCAAACCCTAAACCTTAACCCTAAACCCTAACCCCAACACTAAACCCGAACCCCTAACTCTGAACCCGAAGTCCCAACTTTCAAAAGTGAGGACAAGCGGTATCAGAAGCAGGCACCATTATGAAGCCGCCCTGAGCCGAAATCATTGCAACGGTCGCGGCCGATCAACACGCCCGCCCACATTCGCCGTAAGTCTGAAAATTCCCGCTTGGCGGCGGCCCCCCCCCACCAGGCGGAATGTTCATTCTTAAGGCAAGGTTCGCAGGTCCGCCGCTAGTCCGAGGTCCTACCAGGACCCCTAATCCGTAACCATAAAGCCTAAACCGTAACCCTAACCCGAACCCCGTAACCCTGACCCCCTACCCTAAGCCCCAACACTGGCCCCTAACCCTAACATCCACCCTCAACCCTAAGCCGTAAACCTGAACCCTGACCCTGACCCTTAGCCCTAAACCCTGACCGAGCTGTCACCCCCCGCCCTGACCCCTGACCCTGACCCGAACCCTTAACCCTAATCCTAACCCATACCCGAATCCTAACTCTAAACCTTAAGCCCTAACCCTAAATCCTGTCCCGAAGCCTAACCCGAGCCCCTAACCCAAAACCTTATCCCC